ACACAGACATAGGCAAAGAGCCGCTCTTAAAGTCCGAAGCGGTGGTCTCCTTATTAGAAAGGCACCTAATAGATGGCCACCGTTGCCACCTATGAAGGGACTGACAAATTACACCCATGCCTTCTAATTCAAAAATGCGTCGAACAATCTCTGTATCTCTGTTTCTTTTTTAATATACAGAATAAACCGCTATAAGCTAAAAAAAAAAAAAAAAAAAAAAAAATCGTACTACAGTAGATGACAAAGGATAAACAATTAAAAAGAATCAGCCATAAATAAAAACAATTATATGATACAAAATCAAGAAACTTTCTAACGACGCAGAGTGTAAGTCAAATACGCGAGCAGAGAGTGAACACATAAGCAGTAACCCAGCTGTTTAAATGGCAAAAGGAAGTACTTCAAGAAACTGTCAGCGGAAAGGAAACGACCATCGGAATAGACCATAACTTTGATAATGTTTCCGGAAGTAAACAGAATTCGTCGCATGCTAAGAGTGTTCGAGTTTAATTTCGTGGCAGAACACCATTCTGAAATCGGAACGGTTATATAAAAAATAATAATTAAATTGGAAAAGTGACTTATTAAAAAAAATATAAAACGTTACTAATTTTACATAAAAATATTACTTAAATAAAATTTTTTAAATTATAAAATTAGAGAAATCCTAGCAGTTTAATTACCCGAGAAAACCCAAAATATTGCGTAAATTATACAGAGCAACTAAATATTAACTCTATAAAATTCGTTTCTTAAAATAGCACTGAAGTTTTGTTTTAACACTGATTTTATATTATTGCCTTTTAAGCCCAACGCTTTAGCTCAGAAGGGCTAACAGTTTGAAAACGTCACTTTGTGGCGTTTCAGTATAAACGGCGAATAACTTCTTAAATTGTTGCCACCAAATATTATCGCCCGGTGAAAGAAAACCAAAAACCCAAACCCACCTAGCCGGCAAAGCCGGCCTTAAGGTTAAAAAAGGGGTAGAAGGCAATTCCAACAACAAACGAGGACATCCAACGATCCAGCCGCATCCCACATAAAGCTCAATTAAATTTAAACATTTAAAAAATTAACAAATCTAAGTAAAGCCCCGGAGAACCAAAACCCGAGAACCGAGTAACAAAAGAGTTAGTATAACGAAAACATAATAAACTAAACAAACTTCTGGTCAATGGTTGCAAGCTATTAATCTTTGAGAACCAGAGAAACACACATACAAACCAAAAAAACCAAAAAAATTCTTAAAGTTGGTTAAAGAAACTCAAAAGAAATAACACATCACATAAAACACACATATACACATACAAACTCTGTAGCACCTTCACTATATATTCTTTCTTCTTTCTTGCATTAATTCTTATCTTCATATTAAAATACCAATGATTTCTTTGTTATTATTAATAATATCTAAAATGTCTCTTGAAAATTTCTCAAACTTATTTATTATCGCCCGGTATTATATTTAAAGAAATTAAATCATGAAGAATATACATGAATGTATGTATGTTTGTCGCATTGCGAAAAAACGACGGTACCTAGAGCCATCCAATTTTGAATAAAGTAACGCCCGAATTTTGAATTAATTTGTTTTATTATCCATTTCATATTTTGTAAAACTTTAACGAATTTTTGAATATTTAACATATAAACGTAACACACAAAATGTTAAAAAAACACCACTTTGGGTGTAATATGAAACCTGAAAGCTTTCAGATTTTATTTTTTGTGATTTTTATTTCCTTGTACGAAATAAAGGAAGCATAGTAATCAAGAAAAATTCCGGGTATCATATTTCAACGATAATATCCCTTTTGACCGTTATCGAATGCAATTTAATGATGTTTTTGCGTGACATACGTACCATAAGGACAGAATAAAGGACTCTTTTCCCCAAACGAATTATAAAACTGATTTAAAATGGATTCAAATGAAATTATTTCGTGGCGTCTGTACATATGTATCTGGCATAACTGAAAAACGAGTATAAATACATATAGGTGGTAAATTGCGCATTTTTTGCTTTAAAAATGACTAAATTATGTTGTTCTTATCTTCCGGTTAAGGTTTATATGCCCTTAGTTACGCAAGAGTTGTAGAATTATCAACAATTTAAACACGTTGTTTAAGTGCGGCTAAAGCCTAATTTTCTTACCATAGCAGCCACATTTGTTTACATTTCAAACTTAAGCAGAATAGTAAATTAAGTTCGTTTCTGCACCTTTCAGTGTCTTTTTGCCGAGTGGGACCAAAAGGAAACTTTCAGTTTTTTTGCACCGAAAAATAGGCCTTCTTGCCCACTGGCTGAATTGCTTGTTTTTTCGTAGAAACTCTAATTTTAATTGTAAAAATTGTTTTTTTAAACTGTGTTCGGTGTGTTATGTTTTTCTATATTTTTCAATTTTTAATAAAGATATTTTGAGGTTTTATGTATTTTTCTTGCCACGAAGTGAGAACTGAATTAAATGAATGAGAAAGCTATCTCTAATGGAATTCGAGGAAATAACTTGAATGAAATACAGGAAAAAAATGGGATAACTTAATATTCCATACGAGAAGTCATGTGGTATACACATCAGATTTTTTTATGGAGGTTTTCTTTAATTTTAAATTTACTGAATTCTCATTCAAACTACAGCTCAACAACTTCCCCGTACGTAAGAGTCCTGCCCAGTGGTTAAATACTGATGCTAATACTAGTACTGCTAAATACTGATGTTTTCGAATCGGGTTGGAATCCAGTATTGGCTGCATAGGTGATTTTTGTGGTTTCGAGCCAAACCTTAGAAAGTCCTTCCCCTAATGGCAACGCATTTCTTTTAAATCGTTGAGTTGAAAAGGTAAATATATTACGCTTTGTCGTGTGTTAACGCATTTCTTTTAAATCACTGAGTTATCAGATTAAATCTTAAAGATAAATATCGAATGCTTTGCCGAGTGGCAACACACAGAGCTTTTATACCGCTAAAGTTACTTAAATTCGCACAAAATATGAAATAAATAAAAAAAACAAGTTCAAAGTTCAAAATTCGGCGGCGGCAGAATTTAGAGGCGGCTAAAATACTACAAGCATTAAGCAAAAAAATGGCAAAATTTTTAGAATTTAGGGTACACACTGGCCTGCAGAATTTAGAGAAGGCAAACGTTTTAGAAATAATGGAAATATCGGGTATCAGACTTAAGGAACTGCAAAGACTTCACTCTAGAGCAAAATGCCAAATGTTCTATGTTCAAAATGTATGTTCAAATTCTGGTAGCTCTAGGTGCTCCGTTTTTCCACAATGCGAGAATCATATATACAAGTCATAACTTTGGTAATGATGTAGTATGCAATCTACAGATTTTAGTTATTTATTTATTTATCAGATGGTGCCATTAAAATTGATTGTTTTTTAACCATTCCTTTTTCCCGCCATTTTAACGTATATTCGAATATGAAAGCTACTGAGTTTCTTATTTTATGAAGATTACTGAACTGTAAAACAACAGAAATTTAAATCGTAATCATGCGATCTACTGCTTTTAGTCACGTATTAATTTCTTAAATGGTGATATTAAAATTCTATTTTTAAATCCGAACGGACGATAAAATGGAAGGAAAAAATAAAGGATTAAAAGAAACACCAATTTTAGTGCTGCCATCTAAAAAATATATTTGTGAGTAAAATGAGGAGAATTTGCCCATTATGTCGAATTTCTGTACAAGTAATTGACAGATTTTAATGAAATCTGGTATGAATATACATTTGCACCAGAGAAAGTTATTCAAATTCAAAAAGATTCAAAAAGTATTGTAATCGCGAAAAATTTCGGTTATCGGATTTCAAAGGAAATATCCATTTTCACTATTCTTTTTGCGTGCTATCTGTATTCATTTATACTGAAATATTTTTATGCACTTTCATTTCAGGTGTACAAAGAACTCATATATGTTGCTTTGGCGGCAACTAGCAACATTGTTACAGTACATTAAATTAACAGTTCATTTTATTTTCAGTACACAGAATGTATAAATATTGCTTTGGCTGTAGCCGCTCATCTAGCGGGCATGCTCGCTGGTAATATTTAAAATGTGTGAAATAATTTTTTCAATTTCAATTTTAAAATTAGAAAAAAAAAACACCTTTTTTATTTTTCATAAAACAAATTATTAAATTAAGATTCATAACAGGAAAGATGACATGATATTAATTAATTTATACGATGATCCAAGTTAAAACCTAATTCTTCCAAAATTAATTTTTAGGACGATCAGAATATAAATACTAAGTCATAAAAAATGATTTTTTCTATTTTTGAAAAGCTGGTTAATTTTTTATTTTTCCATTTCATCCATACACTTGAAAGAATTCCTAAACAATTAAATCGCACTAATTTAATCATATTTGTATAATTTAATTAAGGGCTGTGGTTAAATCAATAAGAATTCTTTACTCTTTTTCTCTCCGAAGGAAATTCAGAAAATATTCTACATTAAATTTATTTTTAAAATAAAATAATTTCTAGTTTAAAATTAAAAAGAATAAGTCAAAATTTAAATTAATTAAAATTAATTAAGTTAATATTTTATACAATCACATACATGAAACCAGGAAAATAAAATGTAAAACATAGAGAAATGTTACTTTTTGGGTTAAAGTTGAATTATAGAGAATATTTGCACTATAAGCAAAGTTTATTATAAAGAATATTTTAGGGAAAATATTTTTATATTTCACGAAAACTTCACATGAAATATAATTTACGTCACTGACATCTAACCCATCGGGAAAAAAAAAAAAAAAAACTAGAGGGACAGGGCTTTTTGTGACAACAAGTTTAGTCCTATTTAGTAAATTGGGATCTGTTTTAAGACTTATCGGGAAATTTATTAATAGTCCAATCACAATAACTTAAAAATGCAATTTTTATATCAAATCAGCGACTTCAGACCTGTATTTACCATTTGGCAATGTTTATATCGCCCCCTGTAACTGAAAAAGATGCTTAATTGCACTTACCGAGATGCAGTGTGAGATTCACCCGGTTTGGGTACTGAATCCCTTCGTACATCGTCTCACTCTGCCACCATGTGGGATTGTCGTTGTTATTAAAATCCGTCAGATATTCTGGGGGATGGGCTATTGAAGCATTGGTCGCGTCGCAAACTTCGCACGATTTTTTGGCTTGGGTGAGACCCGTCTGCAGGCAGTACTCCGTGGGGCCCCTGGTTCCGCACGTGTTTGTCGCTTCCACCCGCACATTGAAGGCCGCGTTCACAAACTCTGGTACGCATCGTAAGGGTCTACGAAACGCGTCGTAGCATTGATTTTGCTGATCCGCTGTACTATGGATTTCGGAAAGCGTGATTTCTTTCTGGTGTTCTTGGCACCGCGCAAACTGAAATACTGCTACGAGAAACAATGACAACACCGTCCGGAGTAAAGCGGACATTCGAATGCCCGCCGCCATCTTGCTTTCACTTGCTCCGCCTAGAATTCCGATCTGGGAAAGGGCCGTAGTAACTAGCGGCGGTGAGATGCGAACTGTTGAATGCTCCCCTGGCTAGGGTTGCCGCAATCACAAGAAAGTTTTTGGCGTTAATTTTTTTTTTTACTACATTTCGTTTGGCGAAGATTGAGTTACTAGGAAAATTATTATTTTTTTTTTTTTTTTGTTACGTTTACTTTTCGCGGGCTTACATTTTCCCATCTTTCTTATTATTCTAAGAGTTATTCTAAGTGTGATAAATATACGCGGGCGGCCGGACTCTCGCAATACCACGCCTAAATATTTTTAATTCATTGCTAGTACTTGTTGTATGTAAGTACTTTTTATACAATTTCTCATATGTAAGTAAGTACTTAGTGAGTATGAGATAAAAATTTTGTTAATCATTGAATTTTTTTTTTGGGGGGGAGTGACAATCTTAGGAAAGTACGCCGGCAGCCAATGGCCTAGGGACAACCCTGCTAAGAGTTCCACATATATTAATGCTTCCCTTAATTCCTTTCACTCGGTAAAAATGATGAAAATTTTGTGGTTGTATACAGTGGCGTACGCAAAAATTATTTTTTTGGAGGGGGGATGAACATGTTTATTAAACCATGAAAAAAGCAAATGCTGTAGTTTAGAATTATAACTTGGTCGAACTAAGGAATATGCTACATCAGTCTTATTCTCCTACTTAAAACTGTTCAATGATTGATTTCATTTTTTATCAAGTTATAAAAATTACAACAGTGAAGAACAGAGGCAGATTTACACTTGATAAGGCCGTAAGGTATTTGAGATATGGGGCCCTTTATAAGTATGTTATAATATTTAATAATATTTTAATTTTGGGGGGGGCCCAAGAAAGTGGGGGCTCTAAGCTTGCTTAGCTTATACGTAAATCTGGCCCCGGTGAAGAACATTTAAGTAAAATAACATAGATACCATGAAAACAAAATTTCCTACTTACCAGAATTTGTAGAATCCAAATATTATTGAAAAATTGGGAGGGAAATATATATATATATACCAATGTGTATGTTAACTTTATTTATTCATGTTTTTCGCATTTAAACCACATAAAATTCAATTCAATTCAACAGCAATATCACAAAATACTTCAAAACAACAAAACAGCATAACTTTCGAATTTCCGATACACAGTCTCTTGCACTGAAGACAAAAAATGCTTTTTTTTCTGTACAGTGTTGCCATGCTCGCTTTGAAATCGTTGAGTTTGTTAATCATAAACTCGTTAAAATTTTTAAAATTTTTGAAATAGCTAGTAAAACATATTCGAAATTCAAAATTCGGGCTTTCAAATGCCCCTGTTCGGTTGGAGGACTAGGTTATTCAAAATTGGAGGGTTCTAGGTAACGTTCTTTTTTTCACAATCAGAGAAACATACATACATTCATGCAGATTCAAAATATATTAAGTTTCTTTAAATATAATGCATGGGGATAATATTTGGTGGCAACAGTCTGAAAAGTTAATCAACGCAGCAAATGCCGTTAGCCCTTTGGGTCTAACGCCCCTTGGGGCTAATAATAAGCCATTGACCGAGAAAACAGTCACAGATTATAAAATAGTTTAAAAAGTGCGAGTGTAACGAAATAGAAAATTCTATACATTTTTACAAAGTTCCATTAGAGCAGGCATGTCAGATTCAGTGTCTCAAGTCACCAATGCA